AAGAAAGCATCTTCAACAAATGGTGTTGGCATAATTGGAGACTGGCATGTAGAAGAATGCAGATCGATCCATGTTTATCGCCATGCACAAAACTTAAGTCCAAATGGATCAAAGACCTCAACATAAATCCAGCCACACTGAACCTCTTAGAAGAGAAAGTGGGTGGTACCCTTGAACGAATTGGTACAGGAGACAGCTCCTGAACATAACACCAGTAGCACAGACAGTGAGATCAACAATGAATAAATGGGACCTACTGAAACTGAGAAGCTTCTGTAAAGCAAAGGACACAGTCAGCAAGACAAAAAGGCATCCCACAGAATGTGAAAAAATATACACTAATCCCACATCTGACAGAGGGTTGATCTCCAAAATTTACAAAGAACTCAAGAAGCAAGTCTCCAAAACACCAAAAGACCCTATTAAAAAGTGGGCTGCAGAACTAAATAGAGAGTTTTCAATAGAGGAGTCTAAAATGGCTGAGAGGCACTTGAGAAAGTGCTCAACATCCTTAGCCATCCGGGAAATGCAAATCAAAACAACTCTCAGATACCATCTCACCCCTGTCAGAATGGCTAAAATCAAAAACACCAATGACAATTTATGCTGGAGAGGATGTGGTGAAAGGGGGACACTCCTCCATTGCTGGTGGGAGTGCCAACTGGTTCAGCCACTTTGGAAATCAGTATGGAGATTCCTCAGAAAAATGGGAATAAACCTACCACAAGACCCAGCAACTCCACTCTTAGGCATATATCCAAAAGATGCCCATTCATACAACAAAGATGTCTGTTCCACTATGTTCATAGCAGCTTTATTTGTAATTGCCAGAACTTGGAAGCAACCTAGATGTCCCTCACCTGAAGAGTGGATAGAGAAAATGTGGTACATCTACACAATGGAGTACTATTCAGCAGAAAAAAATAATGGAATCATGAGATTCGCAGGCAAATGGATGACACTAGAAGACACTCATCCTGAGTGAGGTAACCCAGTCACAAAAAGAGAAACATGGCATGTACTCTCTCATATATGGATTTTAGACATAGATCTGGGGAGTGCCAGCCTTCAATCCTATGGCCAGAGAGTCTGGGAAACAGAAACTTTATTTAGTGGCTGATCGAAGAAGAGGCAGACTCCCTTGGTTAAGTACTGAGCTGAACTCAAGAAAGCCAGTAACAGAGAGGGAGGACTGATGATCAAAGGGATTAAGACTGGGCTGGTTTAACCCCCAGAAACAGCTGACCAGACAAAGGTTAACTCTTGAATCCCAGGCATCAGCCTGGGAAGCCAGCATGGGACTGATCAAGACCCCCTGAATCTGGGTGTCAGTGAGGAGGCCTAGGGAATCTATTGAGCCTTGGGCAGCAGATCAGTACCCATCCCAAGTATACACACGGACTTTGGACTCCCATAGAACAGTGTGAGGTGCACTCTCACCCGAACTCTTGGGGAAGGGTCTAGGCCCTGCCCTATATGAAATGACAGACTATGCACACCCCCATGGAGGGCCTCACCCTCCCTGGGGAAATGAGGGGATAACGGGGGGGGGAGGGCTCGGGAGGAAGGGAGGGAATGGGAGAGGGACCTGGAACTGACTTGTGAAGCAACCTTGTTTCTTATCCAAATTTAAACTGGAAAATAAAATTTAAAAAAAAAGGAAAAAAAAAGCCACCCTGGTATTAGCCTTTATTCTTCCTTCTTTAAAACCTTATTATTAAGTTCCTAATTTCAAATGAGAAATTTTCACACCAGCCATTAATCTTTTCATGCTCTGCAAATGCAAAAAATGAAACATCATGAGAAGTGAAATTATTGTGTCTAGTCAGAAGCCATCTAACAGAGAAAAGGGAAAAGCTCAAAAACTCCACGTCCTGGCTTTTCAGATAAGGGATATTCACCCCGTATCTCTTCAATCTGTTTAGTTGCTTTAAATGTCCTCCATAATTACATCCCAAACAAATTTCCTGACACAATCGCCCCACAGAAGTGTACACAGTGGAACCAAAATAGTTTGTTCATTCCCCACTACACACTCCATCTTCTGTCTTCAATGATCTGCTGCTTCTGTCCATCCATCCTTCTCAGGCTTCTGATCTGAACATCTGTCCATCCATCCTTCTCCTGCTTCTGATCAGAACATCTGCCCAATCTATCCTTCCCCAGCTTCATTTGTACTTAAAATCCCATCCAACCTCTAAGATCTGGTTCAAATATACATTCTTCGGGATTCCACAAAGAAATAATCTTTTTCGCTTTTTGTGCCAGCCAAGTGTTCTTCTCCCTTTGTATTTATTATCATTATAAAAGACCTTGACAGCAAACTTGGTGCCGGAATTACCTCCACGTCAGTGCTTAAGGCCTGCTATAGTCTCTCAATGTTTGTGTCCCCTTAAAATGTAATTGCAGACAGTAGGGATGATGTGGTAATGGTGTGGGGAATAGTGGCAGGGATGACTGTGGGGATGAAGGTGGGGATAGTGACCGTAGGTCCTGAAACTGCAACTGCTTTGACTTTCGGTTATCTAGTCCGTACACTTTAAGCAAAACTAAATCTGTTGTTTATAAGCAACTCAAATTATAGCATTTTGTTACAATTTAAATATACTAAGAAAAAGCATTTGTCTTAGTTAGGGCTTCTAGTGCTGTGATAAAACACCATGACCAAAAGCTGCTTGGGAAGGAAAGGGTTTATTTCAGTTTACAGTTCCACATCATGGTCTATTGCTAAGGGAAGTCAGGGAAGAAACTGAAATAGGGCAGGAATCTGGAAGCAGGAGCTGATGCAGAGGTCATAGAGGAGTCTCTTACTGGCTTTCTCCCTATGGCTTGCTCAGTTAGTTTTCTTATATGCCCCAGAACTATTAGCCCAAGGGTGACACTGCCTACAATGGGTGGGACCCTCTCACATCAATCACCAATCAAGAAAATGCATGACAGTGGAGGAATTACGGTGGAGGCATTTTTTTCATTTGAGGTTCCCACTCTCAAAATGTCTCTAGCTTGTATTAAGTTCATATAGCATCACAGTACTTTAAAAATAATTTCTTCATAATCTGGAAGACATAGGCCTTTTGACCAGAATTGCTGGTCTATTATTAAACATAGTGTTCATCACTAGCTACTTTAAGTTAATGTTAGATACATGAACATCTGCTAAATCAATTTGCTTTAAATCTTTAGTAAACACGGAATAGATTTGCTTTAGCTTTCATTGTTCTTTATAATTTGAAAGATAAGTAAAATTCTGTTTTTGGCAATAAGTTGTAGAAAGAACTGAGTTTCAAAAACATCTATTTGTCTATAGTATCACTGGGCACTGTCTTCAGAGAATGACATCCTTCACCAAAAGTAGTCTAATAATGAAAGCATATCACTCTTCCATTATCTTACATCAAAGAACCACAGTCAGCACTTCTCATGAGATTCTTGCTTGCCCTTGTATTCAAAGGACATTTATTCATCTCTAACAAAAATTGAAATTTGCAGCTAAGTAGATGGAGCTGGAAATAATCTCTGTTAGTGAGGTAACTGAGACTCAGAAAGACAAATGCTGCAATTTCTTTTCCTTATGTGGATACTTACTTTGAATCTTTAATTTTATGTGTACTTTCACTGTAGTACCCATAGGAGTTAGGAATCCAGTAAGGAACCGTACTGCAAGAATTCAAAGGGCTTATATATGGCAGGTAATGTAAATGGGGAGATAGAAATAATAGAGGAAGAATGGCTTGTGATTTTAGCATTCACACAGATCTGATCCCATGGGGAGGAAAATAGTGAATATACCTCTTCCCTCTTCTGAAGGTATTACTATTAATGATCTTTGCTTCATTCCTTTTCGTTTCAAAGCATTATGAAATGCAGTGTCTACCAAAGCAACCCCGGTCATTGGCAGCTGAACCGGTGAATAAGGAGGATGGATGGACTACCTCTGAGGAAACTTCCAAAGCCTTTGACTTGTCATTTGTAAATGACAGAAACACACACAGTCACTGACCTCTCCTACTGAGATATGTTTACAAGTTGAGGGCAGATATAAATCAAAACCATCATTATCATCACCACCACCATCATCATCATCATCTCAAAATATTCGGAAGTGATGGCAGCCTTCAACCAAAAATTATAATTACCTCCCCTAGAATAACTTCGCTTCTTAAAAATGAAACATTTTTCTGATGTTAATTTTTTCTCATAGCTCAACACAGTTACACTGCTTTAAAGACCTAACCCATGCATGTTGTATCTGTAAATAAAGCTTTATTGGACCACAGAAATACACATTTATTCACATCATTCATATGTCATCTGTAGTTACCTTTTCACTATCATGACAGGGTAACTGCAACAGACTTCAAGGGCCAAGAAAACCAAAAATATTCACCACCTGACTCATGACAAAATCCACTTATCAACCCCTGATAATAAAGTATTTTTGCTAATAACACAAGTTAGGTTTGAATTTTGAGTGAACTGTACTTTTTCCATGGAATCCAAAGCACAAGGTTGCATAGTTTCTAAATTCCTTGTACCACGTAATAATCCCGAGTTTAGTAACCTGATGCAGCCTATTTGGTAATATTTTCATTGATCAGCAGAGGGCGAGCTTGGTCCAACAAATCTGTATACCATACAAATGACTTTTTAAGTCAGTCAGTCTGGCAAAGTTCAGATTATAAGTGAGTTTTCTATAGTTTTTTTTATCAGAAAGTTTAATTGTCATTCAGAAAAAATTGAGTGGATAACTTTCTCTGAAAAAATATATTGACTCTGTGTGGGCTGCAGTTATTACACAGGAGGGACAAGACTGCCTGTAGTTAAATTACCTTACTTTCCAGTCAGGTAATGGCAGAAGGTCCCATTTCCAGTCTGATTATAAAGGTGCATGTGGCCCAAAGAGGCTGAGAGTATATAAATACAAAACAGGAAAGGTAAAAAGCACTAAGACAGGGCAGGCAACGGGTTCCAGGAGAAAACTCTCAGCAATACCCCAGGGAACATTGGCTGGAATCTGCGGCGCTTCAGTCGTCTTTGTCTTTGGCTCCGTGCTTGAGGATGCGCGTGAACTCGATGTAGTTGAAGTTCCCCTTTTTGTCGATGGGGGCCTCCCTGTACAGCTCATCCACTTCCTCGTCTGTGAACCGATCGCCCATGGTTGTGAGCAGCTCCCTCAGGTAATCCTCCTGGATGGTGCCAGTGGCTTCCTCATCAAAGCAAGCGAAGGCATTTCTGATGACATCCTCGGGATCTGTGCCATTCAGCTTCTCTCCAAACATGGTGAGGAACATGGTGAAGTTGATGGGGCCCGGGGCCTCGTTCATCATGGCATCCAGGTACTCATCGGTTGGATTTTTTCCCATTGAAGCGAGCATGTCATGCAAGTCCTCCTTGTCGATGAAGCCACCCCGGTTCTGGTCAATCATGTTGAAGGCCTCTTTGAACTCCTGGATCTGGGACTGGTCAAACATGGCGAACACATTGGATGTGGCGCGCTGAGGGCGCTTCTGGGAGGTCTTGGTCTTGGCCCTTTTGCTCGACATGGTGGCGGTGAAATCCCTGCTCAGCCGCGGGAAATCGGAGCTGAGTTTTCTATAGTTTTAATAGTGTCGAGAAGAATAAGAATAGAGCAAGATGTCTATTCTACTACCACCTAACACTGGCGTGTTCTTCTGGGGGAGGAAATGGTTCCTCTACCTCATCCTCCTTTCTCTTCATCCTACCAGAGACCCTGAGTTTTCCAATCATCAGCAGCAGTTTGGCTGTAAAAACAAGGATTTCTCCACCACTATCACACAGCACACCAAGCAATGGTGGCCACTGTTTCCCCACCCTCTATCTCCTTTCACGCTGCCTCTCTGTAGACCCATGCCATTAGTGTGGAGAGAGTCATTGTCTATTGTGTGGAAATATAAAAGACGATCATTAGAAGTTCAGATTTCTTCGGTGGCTCTCTGGTCCTACTGATCAACACAGGGGCTGTCTGAAAAGTGAACCATTTCCAAGGAGAATGTCCTGCAGGACTAAAGAATGCTGGGGGCCCTAAAGAAAGCCTGAAAAAAGCCACCTACCAGCACTCCAGACAAGGGCTGTAGGATGGGGCCTCGACTTTGAAAGACTTGATTACGGTGAGGTCTTGTTACCTGCACTATCATTGTTTTGTTATGAGTGAAAGGTTTCACATTCTTAATTTGTCTTGGGGATAGAAAAGGGGCAGGCAAACTTTCCTGACATGGTTCTGAGGGTGTGGGACATCCATTTGCACTCTGAAAAAATAACAGACGCAAAAAGATGCAGGTCCTTGTGCAAATCTGCACTAACAGTGGTTACTGAAAAAATAGGCTGTAGGGCTCTCATCCCTGAGCCTTACCGTAAAACATAGAGTGTAGGCTCTGGCAGATGCTCAAAATAAAAGCTATCCATTATACTAGAGTAAGAACAGATTCAATGAACTCAATAGTATAAAAAGAACATTTTTAGAGAGACATGGGAAAAGGAAAAAGTATGTGTAGAAAGATAAAAACAAAATGATATTTATACCTCTTTACTGTATATTTCATTATTTAATAGCTTATGCTAAAGTACATTTAAAATTTTTTAAACTGATGTGCTCATGAGATGTACAATTTAAAATTTAATTCCAAACCACTTTGTCATATCAACTACACAATTATGTTAATAAAATTATGCTTATAGTTATCACATAGTTTATAAATACATAGATACATACACAAATGAGTGCACACACATACCTAAATATTTGGAGCTTTTTACATGAGAGACAGAATATGGGTCAGTTAACTTATGTCTGCTGTGCAGTGGGGCTGGGGGAATCTAAGAGAGAAAAGAGAGAATAAAAAATCCTTATCTCTGTGAACACACACACACACACACACACACACACGCATACACACGCACAAGACACATGTAGGCCTGACTTCCAAGGATTAAAATGTTAGAAACCACTGCATAGAACAGTAGTTCTCAACCTTCTTAATGCCGCAACCCTTTAATACAGTTTCTCATGTTGTGGTGACCCCACATCCCATGAAATTATTCTAATTATTTTTGTTGTTACGTCATAACTGTAATTTTGCTACTGTTATGAATTGTAGTGTAAATATCTGTGTTTTCTGTTGGTCTTAGGCAACTCCTGTGAAAGGGTCTCTCAATCCCCAAAAGGGTTGTGACACACAAATTGAGACCCTATTAAATTTCTCTGGCCAACAACTTCTTGCTCTTGCTAAAATGTGTAATATTACTTTAAAATGTGTTACATTTGTTTATGTTGTGGAACATTTGATTAATGATGCAAAGGTGTGTTGCATTCTTTTATATTGCAATTATTTAACTCTTTGAAGCTGTGTTACTTTGCCTGTCTAAAACACCTGACTGGTCTAATAAACAGCTGAACAGCCAGTAGTTAGGAGAAAGAACAGGCAGGGCTGGCAGGCAGAGAGAATAGATAAGAGGAGAAATCTGGGAAAACAAAATCAGGGAGTGAGAAAAGGAGGAGATGGGGGCATCAGAGGCCAGCCACGCAGCAACACAACCAGCAATGGAGTAAGAAGTAAAGAAAGGGATAAAGAATAAGAGAAAGGTAAAATTCCAGAGGCAAAAGGTAGACTGGATAATTTAAGAAAAGTTAGCAAGAAATAGGCCAAGCTAAGGCCGGACATTTATATGTAAGAATAAGACTCCATGTGTTTATTTAGGAGCTATGTGATGCTTCCCTCCAAAGAGCAAAATAGAAAAATAAAACACTACACTTCAGTCCCCTCTGGTCTCCGCCCTGTGCTTGAGAGTGTCTCAGACCCATCTGTACCCATCTGAGTATTGGACCTGCTTGAATGCACTGGAAGGGATCCTTACACACAAACCCACCAGGAGAGGAAGAGATCCCACGTGCTCCCACTGAAAGAAGGGATGGGAAGAAGGCAATACAAAAACACAGCCAACAAGAGAAGAACCAATGTAACACCATCAGAGTCTAGAAACTCTACACCAGCAAGACCTGAACTTACCAACAAAGATGAAATAGAAAAGAATGACCTTCAAAACAACCTCCTGAAAGTGATTGAGGCCCTCAAAGAGGATATGAGAAAACACAAACCAAAAAAAATGCAAGAAATCAGCAAATCTCTTAAAGAAAGCAAGGAAAGCAAAGAAAAAGCAATTAAACAGATGAAGGAAACAATTCAAACAGTTCAAGATCTGAAAACCGAAATGGAGAAAATAAACACACACACACACACACACACACACACACACACACACACACACACACACACTGATGCAATGCTGGAAATCAAAAGGCTGAATAAACAATCAGGAATTACAGATGCAAGCATAACTAACAGAATACAAGAGATGGAAGACAGAATCTCATGTACTGAAGATAAACTAGAGGAAATAGATTCATCGACAAAAGAAAGTCTTAAATCCAACAAATCCTTCACACAAAATATCCAGGAAATATGGGACACCGTGAAAAGATCAAATCTAAAAATAATAGGTATAGAAGAAGGTGAAGAAGCCCAGCTCAATGGTGCAGAAAACATATTCAACAAAAGCATAGAAGAAAACTTTCCCAACCTGAAGAATGAGATGCCTATGAAACTACAAGAAGATTACCGAACACCAAATAGACTGGACCAAAAAAATAAAGAACAAATATTAAAAGCAGCAAAGGAAAAATGCCAAGTAACATATAAAGGCAAACCTCTCAGAATTACACCCTACTTCTCCATGGAAACTATGAAAGCCAGAAGGTCCTGGATAGATGTTCTACAAACACTAAGAGATCACAGATTCCAGCCCAGAATACTATTTCCAGCAAAACTCTCAATCACTATAAATGGAGAAAACAAGATGTTCCATGACAAAACCAGATTTATGCAATACATATTCACAAATCCAGCCCTACAGAAAGTTCTAGAAGGAAAACTCCGACCCAAGGAAGGTAACTATGCTCAAAATAACATGGACAATAAATAATCTTACTTTACCAGAAATCAGAAATAGGGGTAAAACTCACACACAAAACCACTACCAAAAATGGATCCAAAGCAAACAAGAATCAACAATCAAAGGTCATTAATATCCCTGAACATCAATGGTCTTAACTCACCTATAAAAAGACACAGGCTAACAGAATGTATGCATCCTTCTGCTGCATACAAGAAACACACCTCAATTTCAAAGACAGATGCTGCCTCAATGTTAAGTGTTGGGAAAAGACTTTCCAATCAAATGGAATAAGAAGCAAGTAGGTGTAGCTATCCTAATATCTAACAAACTAGACTTCAAACTAAAATTATTCAAAAGAGATGAAGAAGGTCATTTCATATTCATCATGGGAAAACTCCATGAGGAAGAAGTCTCAATTCTGAACATATATGCCCCAAATATAAAGGCACCCACATTCATAAAAGAAACATTACTAGAACTCAAATCACACAATAAACCACATACACTTATAGTGAGAGACTTCAACACCCCACCCTCACCATTGGACAGGTCCACCAGAGAGAAACTTAACAAAGAAACAATGGAACTAACAGAAGTTATCACTCAATTGGGTTTAACAGACATCTATAGAACATTCCACCAAACAAAAAAGAATACACCTTATTCTCAGCACCCCACGGAACATTCTCTAAAATAGACAACATACTTGGCAATAAAGTAAACCTCAACAAGCACAAAAAATTGGAATAATCCATCTTGTTGGACTACCATGGCTTAAAATTTGAATTCAACGTCAACACAAATCTCAGAAACCTCACAAACTCATGGAAATTGAACAATGCTCAATTGCATCACCCCTGGGTAGGGGAAGAAATAAAAAAAGAAATAAAAGACTTCCTACAATTCAATGAAAATGAAGGCACAACATACCCAAACCTTTGGGATACTTTGAACACCGTTCTAAGAGGAAAATTCATGGCACTAAGTGCCGACATGAAGAAACTGGAGAATTCCCACACTAGAGAATTAACAGAACACCTGAAAGCTCTAGAACAAAAAGAAGCCAACTCACCTGGGAGGAGTAGACACCAGGAATAATCAAACTGAGAGCTGAAAATAATAAAGTAGAAACAAAGAAAACAATGCAAAGAATCAATAAAACAAAGAGTTGGTTCTTTGAGAAAATCAACAAGATAGACAAACCTTTATCAAACCTAACCAAAAGACAGAGAGAGAACATGCTAATTAACAAAATCAGAAATGAAAAAGGGGCATAACAACAGACACTGGGGAAATCCAAAAAATCATCCAGTCATACGTTGAAAACCTGTACTCTACTAAATTGGAGAAGGGAAGGGCAAACGGAGATGGGAGAAAGAAAGGAGGAAAAGAGGCGGGGAGAGGAGGACATGGGAGAGCAGGAAGATTGAGCCAGGGTAAGAATAGAGGAGAGAAGGATGGGAGATACCATAAAAGAGGGAGACATTATAAGTTGGAGGAGAGATTTGGCACTAGTGAGATCTTCACAGACCTACAAGAATGACACCAACTGGCATTAAGGCTACCTTAAATGCCCTCCCATGATAAGAAGAAGGATGACTACCTT